GGGGGGTATAGGGGGGTATAGGGGTGGTATAGGGGGTACTGGGGGGGGGTATGAGGGTGTTGGGGGGCGGTTTGTGGGTGTTGGGGGGTGTATGGGTGTATTTGGGGTTAGTATGGGGGTGTTCATGGGGTTATCAGGGTTCTGGAATCTGGACCCAATTTTTTTAATTTTATTTTTTTGCGGGGTGCCGACGACCCCCGACCAGTAGGTGCCGACCAGCCGACCGGTCGGCAGGTCGGCAGCCGACCAGTCAAGGGTCGCCGACATTCGGGGTGTGCAACACTAAACACAGGAAAAATAGCCAAAAAAGGTAAGTGTCCTAAAACTCAGCCACGAGCAAAGAAAAAAGAGACACAAAAAGATTCAGAAGCATCTGCAAAGTTCAAGAAAATGATTCGAAGGATGTGTTTTCAACTTTTCACATCATAATACCTTTTTTGTTTGAAAAAAGTCCTGGATGTGAAATAGATCCTCATCATCGACAAGTTAGCACCCAACCATACTTTATCGGAAGTTTATCCACTATGTTTATGTTGCTTCTTGTGTCCGGAATCGGGATTACTTGTGTCTGTCCTTCGTCCTTCAGGGCATCCCATAAAATTGGAACAATACAGAGAAGATTAGCATGGCCCCTGCGCAGGGATGACACACATAAATCGAGAAGTGGCTCAATTTGTTTTTAAAGAAACAGGTGGAAGGGGGGGGGGGGAAACATGTCTGTCCTTCGGGAACTCTGTTAAAACTTAAAACTTGAAATTGAAATGGGACCGATAACATGAGCATGGCCCCTCCGCAATGACGACACATAAATTGAGAAACGGTCCAAACTATTACAAAACAAAAACAAACAAAAAAACGAAAGAAACAAGAGACTCTGCTTGTGTCTGCAGTCACTCAGTTTCATTGCCACTGCCACTGATCAGTATTTGAGACAGGACACACACAAGTGAATGATGTGGATCACCTCCCACTGCCATCTCACGGTACATCGGACATGAACGGACCTGAATAATAATGGGATGAATTATTAAAACTGCATGGAGTTCCATAAACGAAATCATATCAAGATTCTGATATTCTGTATACGGAGCACGTGGTCAGAGTAACGAACCTCAGCTGTTTCGAGATAGTGAACGAGAACGACATGCTCCTGAGAAGCTCTGCAATACAACAGACAAAAACAACAAAAAAAGAAGTTCAAAGAACAACAAAAGAAACGAGAAAACAAAAACATGTTAAGAAAAGCTAGACTACCAGGGCCACACCGGCCAGGCAGCCGTCCAGGTTGGCCAGCCATCCACCTGCCACGGGTACCCCGGGCATGTGAGAACTCCGCAAATGTTTTTTCCATACTTGCGGTGCACTTAAGCGGTGCGCTGTGCCGTGCGCCATGCGCTCATGGGTGATGTGTGTGCACGTGCGCACCGCGCGCAATGAGCACGCACAGGCAGTGCGCTGGAGTGTGGCTGAGTGACCCCCATGCCCGCGCATCTGCGGATGTGCCTTTCTTTTTTTTTTTTTTTT